TATGAGCCTTCAGCAGGTGCTTTCTCTCTATGAGCCTTCAGCAGGCGCTTTCTCTCTATGAGCCTTCAGCAGGTGCTTTCTCTCTATGAGCCTTCAGCTGGTGCTTTCTCTCTATGATCCTCTAGCAGGTGCTTTCTCTCTATGAGCCTTCAGCCTGTCTCTTATACACATCTTTCCATATTTATGTTATCATATCCAGTATAATAGATTTTATTCATTAATGATTCCATATTTATGTTATCATATCCAGTATAATAGATTTTATGCATTAATGATTCCATATTTATGTTATCATATACAGTATAATAGATTTTATGCATTAATGATTCCATATTTATGTTCTCATATCCAGTATAATAGATTTTATGCATTAATGATTCCATATTTATGTTCTCATATCCAGTACAATAGATTTTATGCATTAATGATTCCATATTTATGTTCTCATATCCAGTATAATAGATTTTATCCATTAATGACTCCATATTTATGTTTTCATATCTGGTACAATAGATTTTATCCATTAAAGATTCCATATTTATATTTTCATATCTGGTACAATAGATTTTATCCATTAAAGATTCCATACTACTGCCCTTCATCCCTTAAGCTGCACGTTCCCTCCCTTTGCCTCTTCCTCCCCTGCCTATTCATCAAGTAACCCCTACGCTGCCTCTTCCTCCCCAGTTTCTAAAGTGCAGCGCTACTAGAAACCCACTACTACCTACTCTTCCGCCCCCTCCTATAACATCTAGTCGCCCCTACTCTCACTCCTCCTATCCCCTGCCTTTAAATACCTGAACGCGTTGAATATCACCTCATGCGCTGTAAAAGATTGGCCAGTAATGGGGGCTGGTAATCATTACTTAAAAATCACTAATTTATTTCTATTTAAACCTCTTTGCTTCCTGAAGATACAAGACAATTTTACAAGTTCAAGATTTACTAAAGATTAAAACCGTACCATCTTCTTATGACTGTTTGCTCTCGCAATTACCAGCCACTCTTATACGTATTCTAAGCCGCATCTTGTTCAGAATGCACTACACCTATATCTGTGCTGTGTACTACTAAAACTTTTCTCCTACAGTCATTTCGGTTAAATACATCTAGAGAAATATTCAAATTTTAAATCTCATTGGGCATTTTCCAACAGGAATAATTTTTTGGAACTCATCCGCGTCCGGGACTTCACGGTCGTGCTTGAGCCGCACGCCAACTCCAAAGTGCAAGTGAGATATTGTTTGTATAATTTTGTATAATATTGTATAATATTGTTTGTCTTCATATATGATTTTGTATCAAATGTTTGACTCAGTCAAAGATTTTTCATTGCAGTGCTGTTGAAGTCTTCATGTATGACTTTGTATGAAATATTCGACTCATTGAAAGATTTTTCAATGCGGTGTTGTGTTGAAGTTTTCAAATTATATTAATTTTTTTTGTAAGAAACTTTGTCTGGATGTTATTATAGTATCTATTATTATTATTATTAGTATCTATTATTATTTTTTGGCAGGTATTTAGGTCTTCTTGAAGTTAATTTTACTCATAAGTTTTTATTTATTTGATTTTTATCTTAGCTATTCGATCTTTTCACTCAGTTCTTAACACGAATGACAAAAACTAAGATATCAGCTAAGATATTAACCTAGGAGCTATGAATTAAAATTGTTGAATTGTTGCAGCCAGAACACGAAGCAGCTGCAGCTGAGAAGCAGATGTTGCTGCGCAAGGAAAGCTACGTTGATTTGATCAGCAGAGAAGTTCTGAAGCTTGACTTTCCTTTCACGCTCGAGCCTCTCGTCTCACCCTATGACGGCTTCAAGGTGTGCCTTCACTTCAAAACTATTACTCTTTTGTGCCAAACCTGGAATAAGATTTCAATTGATAGTATCAATAACTTTAATTTTCTACCACTAATGCGTGTAGAGCGAACTCAATTGTCGGTGTTCCTACGCAGAATGTAGCGAATTTCTTAACGCCAATATTATCATAACATTACCAAGTTTCAAATTATCATCTAAATGAGAATTAATATTGGTAACTCTAGTTGATGCACTTTGTAACTGGTGGCTTTATATTCAACTCTAACCCGGTCCAACTTTGTACTGATAAGATTTACGACTCACCATATGTTATATGAAGCTCCCAGTGATGCCGAACGCCAAATATACAAGACATGAAAAATGTGACGACTTCGCCTATTTACCTCTCGGCTTGTTGCATGAAAATGATTAGCCTGCCTAGTTTAATCCAGAACAACCTTTGAGAACAACCCTTTACTTCTGAGTATCTTATCTTGTGTAAGATTATAATGATTTTTGTATAATTTGCGTAAGATTACAAAATACTGAAGACCTTGCCTAAGCTTACAATACTAAGTATCTTGCTGAATATCATACTTATTTCTTTGTCTATTGAAAAATTAAGATATTCCTGAGTATATTGCGCAATATTATAATCATTTTTGTATAAGTTACTTAAGATTAAAATACTGAAGATCTTGCTTAAGCTTACAATGCTAAGTATCCTGCTTAATATCATACTTATTTCTTTATATCTTGAAAAATTAAGATATTCCTGAGTATATTGCGCAATATTATAATCATTTTTGTATAAGTTGCCTAAGATTAAAATACTGAAGATCTTACCTAAGCTTACAATACTAAGTATCTTGCTTAATATCATACTTATTTCTTTGTATCTATAAAAATTAAGACATTCTTGAGTATCTTGTTTAGATCATACTAATTTCTGACTGTCGTACTTCAGATCGCGTCAGTGAGCTGCTGCCTCGACGGCAGCGCAGACGGCAGCCCGTGGCGCGGCGGTGGCGCTGCCGTGCGTCTCTCGTGGCCGGGCGCTGGGGCAGCGGCTGCTGCTTCCTCCCACACGCCTCATCATTCTGAATTCTTGTAAAATTATTTAGCATTTATTCTGATTATTACTTGTATTGTTTCAATTAGCTTGAACGAGTTTTTGTACAAAGTTTTTGAATTTATTGTGGTTATTAGCAGTGTTGTTGAAGTACGATTGCATGAGCTCTCGTAAAAATTCTTAGCATTTGTTGTACTTATTAAGAGTTTTGTTAAGACAAGTTTCGGAGTTAAGTACTTTGACTTCAAATTTCGAATGCTATCTTCTTGTTTTCATTGTCTTGAGTTTCTGTTTTCTGCTTGTATACTATAACTAATACTAAATTGTGAATTATTTTTCAGAGTGTTGAAGAACCCAAGTTTTGACACCCTCTCGCCCAAGACCTTCATCAAAGTTGAGAAGCCTGAACCTCTCATCGATGTCGAGGTTTGCTCTTCATACCTCTTTGATTTCTAAGAAAAATTAAAAACAACCAACAAGCAAAGCAATTCAACATATTACCTGTTGGAGTTTAAATAAACTGCACTTTAAATCAAAGCTTCTTGTGAGACCTTGACTTATGTTTGCTTTGCTATAGTGTCTGTTATTCTGATAACTGCTCGGTGTTAACTCCGTCTATTCCTGATTTCTTTTAAAATCTTGTTCTCATGCATAGACATAACATTTGTATATGAAGAGATTTCTATACATTTCCCCTGCCATGCTTATACATCATATCATTCTGCTGTGTTGCGGCACCGCTCGTATGATTAAAAATTCTATTCGATTTCAACTGGACAGAAGCAAAAAAAGTCGTATATATTATGCTGACCAATTATTCATTACCCAACCCCAATAATTCAAGAAAATTTTATCACTTGAATACTTTATAAACGTTTCATATTGAGCCCTCTATACTTAACTTAATACGTTACAATCAGAGAAATGAGTGAAAATTTCTACCCATAAGTGGGTCATCCTGAGCCAGTTTCGCCCAGTAGAAGTAAATATCAATGCTACTCCTGCTCGTAATATCTGTGAGAAAGTGTGTCAATATGTACGTCCCGGCAACGCAATCCCAACCGCGACGTCGCATTTCTGAATCATTACTCAAAAATCACTAATTTATTTCTATTGAAACCTGTTTGCTTCCTGTAGATACAAGGCAATTTTACAAATTCAAGATTTAGTAAAGATTAAAACCGTTCCATCTTACGACTGTTTGTACTCTCAATTAGCAACCACTCTTACACGTATTCTAAGCCGCAACTTGTTCAGAATGCACTATACATAGTCCTGTGCTGTGTACTACTAAAACTTTTCTTCTACAATCATTTCCGTTTAATACATTAGAGGAATATTCAAATTTTAAATCTCACTGGACATTTTCCAACAGGAATAATTTTTTGGAACTCATCCGCGTCCGGGACTTCACGGTCGTGCTTGAGCCGCACGCTAACTCCAAAGTGCAGGTGAGAGTAAAATATTGTTTGTCTTTATGTATGACTTTGTATGAAATGCTTGAATCATTCAAAGATTTTTCATTGCGATGTTGTGTTGAAGTTTTCAAATTATATTAATTTTTGCGTAGATACTTTGTCTGTATATTATTATAGTATTTATAGTTATTTTTTGCAGGTATTTAGGTCTTCTTAAGTCTAATTTTACTCATGAGTTTTTATTTATTTGATTTTTATCTTAGCTATTCGATCTTTTCACTCAGTTCTTAACACGAATGACAAAAACTAAGATATAATAAGATTTATGACTCACCATATATTATATGAAATTCCAAGTGATTGATTCCGACGCCAAATATACAAGACATGAAAAATGTGATGACTTCACCTATTTACCTCTCGGCGTACTTCATGAAAATGATTAGCCTGCCTCGTTCAATCCAGAACAACCTTTGTCCTGTTGATTACGTTTGCCATGATTACCTACCTCTGAGTATCTAGCATAAGACTATAATCATTTCTGCGAAATTTGCCTAAGATTTAATTATTAAATACTGTAGATGTTGCCTAAGTTTACAATACTCTGTATCTTGCTTAATGCCATAGGTACTTATTCCTGTGTATCTTAAAAAGTACAGATATTCCGGATTATTTTGTGTAAGATTATAATCATTTCTGTGTAATTTGCCTAAGATTAAAATACTGCGGATCTTGCCTAAGCTTACAATGCTAAGTATCTTGCTTAATATCATACTTATTTCTTTATATCATAAAAAGCTAAGATATTCCTGAGTATTTTATGTAAGATTATAATAATTTCTGTGTAATTTGCATAAAATTAAAATACTGTAGATCTTGCATAAGCTTACAATACTAAGTATCTTGCTTAATGTCATACTTATTTCTTTGTATCTTTAAAAAGTAAGATATTCTTGAGTATATTGTGTAATATCACACTAATTTCTGCCTGCCGTGGCTCAGATCGCGTCTGTGAGCTGCTGTCTCGATGGCAGCGCAGACGGCAGCCCGTGGCGCGGCGGTGGCGCTGCCGTGCGTCTCTCGTGGCCCGGCGCTGGGGCAGCGGCTGCTGCTTCCTCCCACACGCCTCACCATTCTGAGTTCTTGTAAAATTATTTACCATTTATTCTGAATATTGTTTGTACTGTTACAATAACTTGATCGAATCTTAGTACAAAATTTTAGAATTTATTGTGCTTATTAAGAGTATTTTTGATGTACGATTGAACGAGTTCGAGTAAAATTATTTAGCATTTATTCTGAATATTGTTTGTATTGTTACAATAAACTTGAATGAATCATAGTACAAAGTTTTCAAATTTATTGTGCTTATTAAGAGTATTGTTGAAGTACGATTGAATGAGTTATTTTAAAAATTCTTAGCTTATATTGCACCTATGAGGAGTTTTGTTAAAACAAGTTTTGAAGTTAAGAACTTTGGCTTCCAATTTCGAATGCTATCTTCTAGTTTTTCTTGTCTTGAGTTTCTGTTTTCTGCTTGCATATTAAAATGAACACTTATTTTATTTTTCAATTGTTCATTATTTATTAATTGTTATTAATATTATTTATTAAATAATATTATTTTCCAGAGTGTTGAAGAACCCAAGTTTTGACACCCTCTCGCCCAAGACCTTCATCAAAGTTGAGAAGCCTGAACCTCTCATCGATGTCGAGGTATTCTCTTTATACCTGTTGGATTTATTAAGAAATTAAAAGAGAAGAACACGCCAAACAACTCACTGTATCACCTGTTGGATGTCAAATAAACTGCACTTAAAACCCAAGCTTTTTGGGAGACCTTGATTTATGTTTGCTTTGCAATAATGTCTATTATTCTGATAACTGCTTGGTGTAAACTCCATCTGTTCCTGATCTCTTTTTAAAATCTTATTCTCATGCTTAGACATTACACATATATAACAAGAGATTTCAATACATTTCTCCTGCCATGCTTATACATAATATCATTCAACTGTGTTGCGACACCGCTCGTATAACCAAAAATTCTATTTTATTTCATCTGGGCAAAAGCAGAAAAGATGTATATTATGCTGACCGATTATTCGTTACCAAACCCCAATACTTCAAAAAAAGTGTTAACACTTGAATACTTTATAAACATTCCATATTGAGATCTCTATACTTAACCTAATACGTCACAATCAGAGAAATGAATGAAAATTTTAGTTTTTGAGTGGGTCATCCTGACCCAGTTTAGCAAAGTAGAAGGGCGTATAAATGCTACTTCTGCTCGTGATATCTGTGAGAAAATGTGTCAATATCTTTTGTACAAGATAACATAACATAACATAGTGATGTCGGCGCTGAAGTGTAGGCCTGATGTGGCCTGTCGCCGATTCTTTTCCTTTTCGTGCCTTGTTCACAGAAGATCTAATATCATGTTATTTGCCCGGATATTTTCATGACTGGCGATAGTTTGAAGTAGCTACTAGACTTCCACTGGGTTCGATAAGGAGCTAGGCATTTCAAATCTGAACATATATTTTTCCATAGCTTTATCTAGTCTGTTCTTGAACGCGTTCATACTTGGAGCGCCAACGATGTCATCGGATCTGCCGGCAATAAAACCATGTTGACAATCTGATATGAGATGGTGAGCAGTCAAGTGATCGATAATCCTATCCCTCACAACAGATTCCATTAGCTATAGATGACCCATATATTTTTCTAATTGTACGTCCCAGCAATCAATCCCAACTGCAACGTCTCATTTCTGACGCCAGAAGTTCATGATTAAGATGAAGATTTTTATGGAGCGTTTGAAAACTTACTACTTACTGCAGGTTAAGTACGACAAGCAGGCGCTGGTGTGGGAGTGGCTCGTCGTCGACGTGTTGGTGACGTGTTGTGAGCCGCGGCCGCTCACCGACGTCCGGCTCTCGCTGAGCCTGCAGCGGCCCGTGCAAGCCGCGCTTGAGGCTACAAGTCAGGCAACAAACTACAGACAACTACATGACTTTTTTTTATTATTAACTATATTTCATAGTTCATTTCAATGTATATTGCATTGTTCATTTATCTATATTTGAAAGTTGGAGTTTTAATGATAATTTGATTAGTAACACGTGGAGTTCGACTTCACTTGTACTTGAGACAACATGCACTTATTAAATACTCGAAAAAATTATTATGTTGAGTTAATGAATTCGAGTTTTGAAGGATTTAGCTCTCCTTAGTCATCAATAAAAGCTAATGTTTTTGTTGTTAATTACCGTTAACGTTTCAGCTCGAGTTAGCAGCTGCGGCAGCAGCAGCAGTGCAGCACCAAGTGACAGCTGCGGTGCTGCTGTGCAGAACATTGCTCTTGCAGACGAGCTGCAGCCTGGGCAGCAGATGCGACACAAGCTGCTAGTGCGCTCCCTTACAGCTGCTACTCGACACTTCTCCCTCGTCGTGAGATTTTTTAAATAAGTTAAAATAAGTTGCTGGACATTTTAGTTCGAATATTCAAGTTGAGAACTTAATGGCGCACACACAAGTAATGTGATTTCATTTTTGTATTTTTTTACCTGTATTGAAGTAACTACAATACGTTAGCATCAACTCTGACATCGTGACAGCGAAGCCTATATGCTAACATTACTCATTCTCCCATGCAGTTGAAGTGCTGTAAGTCAGTGGAAGTGGCTGCGGAGCAGTGGGTGCAGTGTCCTGCAGTGCACTGCACGGCCCTCACTGTCACTGCTGCAGTGCCCTTCGTCGTGAGTATTGTGATATAGATTACGAGTTCAATGATCAGATACTAATAGGCTTATTGTGCTCATATTGGTCACTGTATTTGATATTTTATTTAATCTTAGCTCATGACGGAGCAAGAAACAATGCTTCTTGGGATCAAAATGTCATACATTGGACTAGCAAAACTGTAGGTACTGAGACTGAGACCTAATGATTAATTTATTTTATAATTAATTAATGAACTGATAGTACCTAATAATAATCGCCAACGATGTGGTGACAGGTAGAATTATCGTGCGAGAGCCTGCAGTATCCTGCCATGCAGCAGCAGCACCTGCAACCACAAACAACATCTGCAGCTACAACAGTGCGCCTGCAGCAGCCCTTCCTGATCAACGCACGCGTGTCATGCTCATCACACGTGCCCGTCACGCTACACTCCTCCAAACTCATGCTCGTTAGTCACTCTAGTGTTTCATGTGAATCATTCATAATATTAACAGCGGGGTTAAAGTGATTAGGTCATTAGGCCTGTCGTTGATTATGAACCACGTAGAATTTTCACAGATTGTTTCAGGTTTCGAATATGCAACTCACTGATTATATTTGACTGGGCTTAACTGCCCGTCCTCCTTGCCGATGAGAGCAAAAATATCGCAGGTAGCTGGGAATGAATCCACAACTTTCTGCTCCATTCTTAGTACCGTACTCTGAACTGCAACCACTGAGCAACTATGCCCTTTCAATTGTGTTTTTAAACCTAGCAAAACAATTTAATTGTGTTTGTATAGAAGCATACAGCTTATGCTACGATTCGAGGAACACGATTGTACTGGCAACTTGTACTTCGTATTTAGGTAGAACTTATTTATTGTTCATTATTTGTACATAGTATTTTTGAATTGCTCGGGTCAACTTAACCGGGACTAAATAGTGCGTCTCGTTGTGATTAATTATATGTTTCAGTGAATCATTAGAGACCAAATTGTTACTGTGAATATAATTAATAAGATAATGCTTCCAATAAATTGTATGCGCTTTTCGCTGCAGAGTTCTGGTGTGGAGTCTTACGGCGAAGGCAGCAGCAGCTGCAGCGGCGTCATCTCTGCATGCAGCCTGTCTGCAGGCGAGGCGGCGAGTGACTGCTTCTGTCTGCAGGTGGCAGCCTGTAGCACTCCTCAGCTGCAGTTGGGCCACTTCCTCCTGCACTGGAGCAGGTGCTTTCTCTCTATGAGCCTTCAGCAGGTGCTTTCTCTCTATGAGCCTTCAGCAGGTGCTTTCTCTCTATGAGCCTTCAGCAGGTGCTTTCTCTCTATGAGCCTCCAGCAGGCGCTTTCTCTCTATGAGCCTCCAGCAGGCGCTTTCTCTCTATGAGCCTTCAGTAGGCGCTTTCTCTCTATGAGCATCTAGCAGGCGCTTTCTCTCTATGAGCCTTCAGCAGGTGCTTTCTCTCTATGAGCATCTAGCAGGCGCTTTCTCTCTATGAGCCTCCAGCAGGTGCTTTCTCTCTATGAGCCTTCAGGTGGTGCTTTCTCTCTATGAGCCTTCAGCAGGTGCTTTCTCTCTATGAGCCTTCAGGTGGTGCTTTCTCTCTATGAGCCTTCAGGTGGTGCTTTCTCTCTATGAGCCTTCAGCTGGTGCTTTCTCTCTATGAGCCTTCAGCTGGTGCTTTCTCTCTATGAGCCTTCAGCTGGTGCTTTCACTCTATGAGCTTCTAGCAGGTGCTTTCTTTCTATGAGCCTTCAGCAGGTGATTTCTCTCTATGACCCTAAAGCAGGTGTTTTCTCTTTGACCCTTATGCAGGTGCTTTCTCTTTATAACAAGAGAAAGCCTTCATAACCTCCAGTTCAGATCGGGGTAAATCTATGCTCTTGTGTTTAAATCTGACGTGACGTGTGTTGCTCGGTGACTTGGGCCTATACTTTCAAAAAAAGTTGAGAGATCGTAAGTTCATCAGCCAATCGTTGACGGCCTTTCAAGCAAAATCCACCAATCATAGACAAGAAAATAGAGCGTAAGTACTTACGTTCACACTCTCTGTTGTGGTTGAGAACAAACCTGCCGCCGGCCGACAACAGACGCCCGTTGCCGTCGCCTTCAGTAAATCCCTGCCATCACATCTTCTTGTTAAGGTGCATTAAGAAATATTTATTTGTGTTTTATTAAAAATTGCATTTTATTTTGTTCACGAGCTAGGCTTCAACCATGAATTAATTTCTCAAATTTCTCAGACTTTCTCATTGTAGAAAATTCCTGTCTTGTTTGTCCTTCCTACAGAATTTGAACCTTTGAATTCTTAAATAAACTCTTGTCGAAATTATAAGTAAATGTTTATTTTTTTGGAATTTGCTGAAAGTACTAGGTTTTTCGCGTTGCCAAATGAGGATATTGGATATCTAAGTTTACATCGTTTGTTAAGAAGAGGAATGTATTGCAAACGCCGCATTTCTGAATATTTGACGAAAATTATTTGTACAAATTAAGTAAAGGTAGCGTTTGGTTCTCCGTCACTAATTTTATGGTTCACCTTAATGTTATTCTAAATTCAGATTAGCAGTTATCATCAACCTTTATTTTAATGTTAACCTGTTCTGGCATTTTAACGTGTTAACGTTTTACGGCTTTATACTCGAGCTCCTAAAGATGCACCAGAATATTGTGCAATTCTTTGAGATCCCTCTAAGTTCCAATGCTTGAGAATGAGAACTGTACGTTTGTAATAAATTTTGTTCTCTGTATAATGGATAATATATGTTATAATATAGTATTTCGTCTCATATATTGCAGCCGCTCTGACCGCGTGATGATCACAACGTTGACTGCGGATGAAGTTCATCCCGTCGCTGGATTCCAGACTGCGGATGAGGTTCTTCCGCAACTATATGACTATCGTTAACATGAAAACTCTTGTTTTGTGAACCTGGAAAGTTATTTAGTCAAGACCAAACATTGTTTTCGCACTTCAACGAAGTGTTCTACTCAACAATTCTGGCTCTCATTGCGCCGGCCGGAAGGATAACAGCCGTATATTGTGGTAATATTCCAGGAGAATGTAATCGGGAAATTACGAATGTACCACTTGTTTGCTTGGAGTTGGTATATTTTTTCATACTTTCAACGCTACTTTGTTATTAATACGATTAATTTCATGCAACAGCAGTCAAAAAATGGAATAATATTATTGAAATATGTGATAAAATATTTTAAATTTCTGTGCTGTAGTTTCGGTCGACAAATGTTGTTTCAGTATTTCTCAGCTGCCATTTATTTTCCATTGAGTTTTCGCATATTTTGGAAATTTGAATAGTTTGTGAAGTTGTCATCTTCTCTGCCTAGTAATACCGTATATATTCAATAGAATATTAAGCTTGAAGGTTTTGGTTTTGTGATAATGTTATTACTTCGTTTACTCATGTAAATTTAAGTTCATTGTACAGTTTCTGAATTTAAAGTGCGTCTGTTTTTGTAATCACTATGAAGCTAAAAATATCTATCAGAAATGAATATGTATTTTATGAATTTTTTCTGCCATATGCATTATTTATTTTATTTCCTACTTTTACAATTAAGGCTCTTTGTCGCGATTGTGATTTTGTAATTTGTTATTGTATATTTCCGTTAATTACAATACTGAAATAATTTTGTGTTTCTTACGTATTTTCTGTGTGTCAGCGATTTACAAATATATTTATGTGCAATTTATCCTCAACTTTTTTCTTGTTATATCCTATTCTATCTTGAAGTTTTTACAAACATACAAAAAATGTCCCATCCATTTTATGTGTCCAAACAAAGTTTTTATACACACGTAGCTTGGCTGCCGAAAAACTGCATGAATTTTCATGTTCGTTAAATAGATAAAAATTCCTTTAATAAATATCTCTGTTTTCATGTTCCATGTATGCTAGTTTCTATTTTTATCATATCTCTAATTAAATTATCCAAAATATGACTGGTGCAGGGACATGTTATGCTATTTTCGGTGCTAGTTTTCCTGGTCGACTCGGCGATCGCTTTCATGAGGAAAAAAATACACGAGGAAAACTTAAATATAATTCTCAAATTTGCCGGAGGTAGATGAAAAAAAAAGGATTTTCCTAAGTAGGATGTTACTGCAGGAGGCTTGTGGCTCTCAGCTGGGCTGTGCTGGACCTTCATAGCTGAGACTGGACTGAAGTGCGTGAACGCTGTGGTCGCAAAATATTGTGTTTTTGACTATATTGAGTTAATCAAAATATATTGAGTTAATCAGATTATATGGAGTAAATCACAAAATATTGAGTTAATTGGACTATATTGAGAAATTCAGAACATATTATTGAGAAAAGCAGAACATATTAAGTTAATCAGACTACATGAAATTAATTAGAATATATTGAGTTTATCAGCTTATGTTGAGTTTATCAGCTTATGTTGAGTTTATCAGCTTATGTTGAGTTTATCAGCTTATGTTGAGTTTATCAGCTGAAATATTGTACCTCAGCTTATGAGTGAGTTAAAGTAACGTTTTTAAACTAACCGAAGTTGCGTTCTGTGATGTTATAACTTTCCTCAGGGCTAAATCGCATAGAGGGAAGTCTTTATTCTATCGTACTAATAAGTGTTGATCGATGTTGTTATAGGAACTAATAATGACTTTTAATATGTATTCAGTTCCAATCTAAAAGCCCAAAAACATGAATAACAAATATTTTTTGCCGATGAGAAGAGAAAAGATTACAAACATCCTATCAAAATACGATAATGAACTTTACCCTCTACCGCCTGACATGAGTGACACTGTGACCGGAGCAAAATTGTCACAAGCCTACCCTAAAAGTATACGACGTTAGTGGGCGCAAAATAACTTGCAGTGATGGTTGCCGCCACGTACGACAACTTTAATATGTTCTCTGTTGCGTACAAACGTCCTCAGGTTGCTAAACTCAATAGTTTACGTATAATTTAAGTTAAAAGTTATGTTTCCAGAGGAGGGTTAAGTCAATAGAGAAATTCATCGATGATGGATACTTGTCGTGCAATTTTTTTCTGCTACTTGGCTTAGCTAGTCAGTTTATTCATTGAGATGAACAACTTGCTAAAATATATTGTGTTTCAGAGATGGCAATAAGAGTGAACGTAATATTTTGGCTGATGTGCGTCTTAGCTTGGCAGCACTGCGAGTCATCGAACAGGTGTGTGTTTGTTCTTACTTTGCTAGTGACGAAAGAGCTCCACATTTTCATATGGTCTTATTTTACGTTAATATTCAGAAGTTTATGAGATGATTACGATTACAGAATCACTATTACCTAATGTTTTAATACCTTGTTCAATAAAATGTGAGTTCTTCACTCGCGCGATGAAATCTTAAAACGCCTGAAGTGTCTCAGTAATGACTTAACACTAAATATTGGCCAATTTTTCGTGCAGAATCTCAGGTGACATGTGCCTCTGGTCCAGCCTCAGAGGAGGCGACTCCGTCTACGAGATCGTCGAGCACAAGATGCAATCAAGAATGGATTTGTTAAACCAATACGCATGGCGCCCTGGTATTTACAAGCATACGAAGAATGGTAAAAGTGTCATGGATTACACTTCCTCCGCGAAAACCATCTCAACGCCTGGTAAATTATGGGAAATTAAACTGAACGATGTCATCCAAAATAAGTCAGTTCATTGCGCGGGCAGTAAATGCACTTCTTTTAACACTAGAAATGGAAGAAGAACGAATATTACTTCAATTAATTTTCCATCAACCCATCTAGAGCATCCAATAAAAGCTCAGATGTCCCTAAAAGAGGAAAATAATTTGGACAGAGATACATTTTTAGACTGCTTTCTGTTATCTCAAGATAATTACTGGGATCAACCACAAGCGTCTGACAGAAATAGCCATTTTCGAAACTACCGCCTATCTGATGTAATTGACATGAAAACACGGCAGCCTTTGGAAAATTTCACCTCATCTGATGGAATTGTGTTGCGAGTTTTGCATGAAACCAGCGGATCTACATTATTACACGTTGTGTTCCAGACCTGGCAATACTTTACATTCGGTGCTCATCTACGATGGTGGCTTGAAAAATTGCAACCTGGACGCATTGCGGTGCTGACCGTACGGAGGATAGGCGTTCCTGGACTATGGTTTATTGAAAAATATCTGAAAGAATCGGGATCTCTGTTTGTCGACACGGTTCCCACCACCAATATGTGGACTTGGGCCTGGGTGGTAGGAGGTAGAACCTTGATTGAGTCAACTGCCAAGTACAAGAGCGACTTATTCGCTCATAAAATATTTTCCTTCGCAAATAATGAAGCCAAACACAATAAAAATCAAATTCTCGAAGATAAAAAAATTGTCGCCTTTGAATCTAAATTAAGTCGATCTGGACAACATCGCATGCGTGGAAATCTTACACTGCAACCGCAAATACACAGATATTTTAATAATCATAGTCCAATTACAAACAACAACATGAATTTCTTCACCGATCAAATGAAGATGAGAGAAAAACTTTGTGATTCCTGCGAGGGGCTGGGCGAGTTCTGTTCGTATATTTTTCACTCAGAACTCCTAAAACGCATCAATTCTCCCCAAGAAAATTCCGGACCAAAAATCGCGATTGTCGTTCTGGCGGGAATTCGTGTAGAATACATTCTACACACTCTGACTCACCTCTTCTCGTCTATAGGTGTTGACAAGAAAAACGTGGTGGTAATGGTCGGAAGATCTTTCAACGACAACAGCGTGAATAGAAACGTGCTTCTTCTTTTGAATTCTTTGACAATTCCATATCAGATTACGCCAGACTTTGAGATACTGCTGAGCCTTTCTGCTACATCGTTAGGAAAAAGTTTCTACTATTATAAATCGGCCTTTAAACTGGCTTTGGAATATTACTCAGCAGATTATAAATATTTTGCATTACTTGATGAAGATGTCGAGGTTTCCAAAGATTGGCTACGGTATTTACAATACACGGCGCCTCTCCTAGACACAGACACCTCCCTTTGGTGCGCCACGGGCAGCGGAGGAGTCCTACCTGCAGGCAAGGACCCAAAACGTGTGTACCGCGCGCAGCGTCAACCAGGTTGGGGTTTCATGGTGACCAGGGCAGTTCTTGAAGCAGCCACGAGGCAAATGTTAACGGGGGATGTCGCCTTGTATGATATGTGGCTCTTGAATACCTTTTCAAAGGGAAGGGAGTGTGTCTTTCCAGAGGTAGCGCGTTCAAGGCACTATGGAGTTGGCATCAATACGATACCTCAGGTTCATCATATTTATAGCCTAGAGGTTACTTTGTACCAGGGACCTCCGCTTAAAATGACTCCGTTAATTCAACTTACCCGCGAAAATTACAGGAAGAAAATAGTCAAGGAAATTTCTAGCGCTGAAGTTTATTCCGAAAATCCCTGCAAATCGAATTTCCTAGCCAAAACTGCTCAGCACGGCAAAGTTAGCCTAGTTTTTCCGTTTCTTCTCAATAGTAGCACAGATTTTTTTAATTGGACATTATTGGCCGAATGCATTGGTTTGTACGGATATTCTCCACCTCATGCCCCATATTTTGCCGTGCCCTTGACACTGCCGCTGAATAATACCCTGTACATAATTGGTGTTCCGATATCACCGTTTACTGAACTAATTCACAAAAACTTCACGCTGTGGACACCAACCTTTTTGGAAGACGGCTCGACTAAATTTTTCTATTCACTTCCTCGTTTTCTCAATCATTCTCTCACAAAATTAGAAAATCATGTATTCGTACCTGCGAAAACGTGATCACTTATTCGTACATAGTTTAGAAGCGACTAGCATCTTTAATTATCGACAAGGAGACGCGCCTTGAATACGTGATTAAAATGTCATGCCATATGTCGGGCAAGGAGGCGAACATGTGTCATCAACCTGACTTTCAACTTTAACACTTGCAGTGAATTGATTTGGTACAAGTTTCGTGATTTTGTTTACTTGGTGCTTTATAATTACACTATTCGTGGTGAGAGCGTGTAATTTTTCCTTAAAGTCCTAATTTACACCTTCTTCCAACCAAAATGAATTTTAAGTAGATAAGTCAACGATCTTACTTCGTAAAAGTTTTCACATTTTTAACGGAAACCTAACCTAAAAATCTAACTCAACATCGCTGTAGGGTTCACAGAAAATTATTTTCGGCCTACCTGCGTTGACAGGAAGGTCGAAATTCTGATACAACATCGTGGCGGGAAACGTATATAATGCAACAGGTAGGTCGAAAATATAACCCAACTTGGTGGTAGGAAAAGTAATGCGACAGGCAGGCCGAAAATATGACGCAACATCTTGCTAAAAAATCTGAAATAACGGGAAAACTGACGAATAACACAACAGAAAGGCTAGAAATATCAAGTATAATTAGGATGAAATATTTTGAGAATCGAAATTTCATCAACGCGGCACCCTGGAACAAATATTTTTTCAGGAAATATTGCTATCATTTTAAAAATTTTGAATCGTACCTCAATAGCGCACTTACGTATTTTTATGCTAAAGTCAGCATTTTCCATCAAAATAATAATCATATTCACTTTTCATTTTTCCGCTCTTACTCCAATCTCGTGCGCTTTCTATTTAACCTTTAATTTCTTCACTTCTTCTAATCGACCCTTTTTCACTCGCTGTAATCGTCTCTAACTTTACTTGTTCTACGGGACACTATTTAAATCTCGATCTACTTCACTCTTCCTTTACTGGTTTTACTCGACTCTCCCTAAACTCGTTTCACTCGACTCATGGTTCAGTATTTCTTTTTCTTACTCATTCAAATCGGCGCTTGACTTATTCGTTCTACGTAACTCTCACCTCACTCGTTCTACTCAACTCTCACCTCACACTTTCTACTCAACTCTCCCCTCACTCGTTCTACTCAACTCTCTCCTCACTTGTTCTACTCGACTCTCCCCTCACTCGTTCTACTCAACTCTCTCCTCACTTGTTCTACTCAACTCTCCCCTCACTCGTTCTACTCGACTCTCCCCTCACTCGTTCTACTCAACTCTCCCCTCACTCGTTCTACTCAACTCTCCCCTCACTCTGTCCCCTCATCTCCCCTTGCCTGGAGAGAAGACCCTCAAGTGCTGCTAGCAAGACTCATCGCCGCTGCGAGTTGTGCGGAGTTGCAGTGCCAACACCTCGTATGTGGGAGGTGCGCTGGGGAAGAGCAAATAATATCCAGTTTATTACAGATAACATTACTGAAAAGTTCTCAGAAATTGGTATTAAATAGCACTTTTCCATTGTAATGCTATTTTAAATCTAAAATTACTTTAGAAAGAATCACAGAAGACATAGAAGATGATATATTTTTTATTTTTTCTTCTGTAGCGTATTCTTCTAAGAATGAAGACAAGTCGCTCAGTTACTTAATTGGTATATTTTCTTCTGACAACTCAAATGACTGTGCTAAACTATTTGAAACAAACTAATGAGACATGTTAAAAAATGTTCTAGAAATATATATGAAATTAATTAATTTTTAGCTGGTCAATTCGACATCGAGTCATCGCATAGCCTACTTAGGTCTCACTTCAGGATTTATTCAAGATAAAAAATTTTGACTACTAAAAAGCTAACCTGCCTGTCGCGCGCCATGCCCGCGCCAAAGATGGCCGGCTCAATGGGACCAGACATAGAACCTGATGAAGGTGCAGGTCCTCAAATAAGTTACTTGGGTGAGTCTTTGGCCTTAACTGAGTTTAGAAAAAGTGTAAGCTTATTAATTAGCAGAAGATCATGCAGGATATTATTAATTAATGTTATAAATGACCCATGGGTTATGCTAGAGACTACGTTATCAAGCTTCTGCCAGTCACTAAGCATCAGTTCCGTATTGTACGTTACCTTCAACATCCCATACCACGCAGTGAAATTGGAAGTAGAGTACTTAAAAAAGCAAATAATAGCGTTGACTGAGAAAATGAAGTAATTTTCTGCATTTTATCCTGTAAGTGTAGCAACTCCTCTCTCCGTAGTGTCATCGACTGAATTTATTATATTACGGGTGAGTAGTTATCTGTTTACATTTATCGTTTTAAATCCCAATAATTACCGAATTTTTAACTCGTTATTCGCAAATTTCCTATTCAATGTTTTTGTAAACATATTACGTGAGTGAATATTACGAATGAATAATATTCCTGGTTGCGACGACAAATAATTTAAATTAATATCAATTTTTTTATAGAGTGAATAATATAGTGTTTTATAGAGTGTTTTATAAGAAGTTGAGTCAGGGTGATTTGTTCTTTAAAACGCATTCAGTACAGTTAAGCTGTCGGGCATTTAGATGTCATTTACCACACTTGTAAATAATTTAAAATCAAGCGACATTATTGTTCTGCAAGACTTAAATTCGAGGTCTTTAACTAAAAAACATAGAGTCACACCTTAAGTGAAACATTTCTTGGCTACCGCTCTTACTTAGGAAGAACCCACAAATAGACTAAATGTTTCAGGATAGAAGAGAATTTTCATTTAGCAGTTCTGAAAAATTATAAATTAGCATAAGTTCCGCGTGCATTTCGAATTATCTCACTGCAATCCGATGAATGTTCAACGTGGGAAAAGCACACAAAATAATTTTGACTCCACCTACTGAACTTTCTGTAATTATATTGTGTTTTTTTTTATGTTTAAAGTCTGACGAGTTTTGATAATTTTCATAAAAACGCAAAACGATCTGCGCTTGTAAAAGATGACGAAACAAAAAAAAAATCATGTTGTTATATTGAAAATCTTCTATCATGTGACTGGAGTAAAACGAACTGAATGTAATAAGCATACAAGAGTAATTATCCATTTACCGAACGTAATTATTCAGCCACTTTTAAAGTTGAAGAGTAATAATAGCTAACTGTTACCGCACTTGGATGAAGATTTTTGATATGAAATTTTTGAATAATATGGGGTTCTAATGATGATTGTAGTTTCGTTTCCGAGCATTGAGATCAGTAAAGCATTCTCACGTTGGCTTTTAGTTACTTGGAGACGAAAACAAATGAAAATTTTCCTGTGGATAGTAAAATATATAACTTATATATACAGAACAGATGCCTATTTAAGCGAAAACAAAATAATAATTTTCCTATACCTGGTCATTACTACAAAACTGATACCCATTTCGAGGCTATTCCATGATGGTAGTTCTGGCCATATCCACCATTTGAACTAAATAAAATCTACCCTCTAGCTAACCATTACTACAGAACTAATGCTCGTTTCCAGGCTATTCCTTGATGGCACTTCTTGCCGTGTCCGCCATATGGACAAAATAAAATCTACCCTCTGGACAACCATTACTACAGAACTAATGCTTGTTTCCAGGCTATTCCATGTTGGCAGTTCTGGCTTTGTCCGCCATCTGGATCACAGTGTTCTCAGCATCCCCCGGTGTGATGCCGCACGCTGATCCCGTCTACGACTTCATCATTGTCGGCTCG